AAAAACTGTAAAGATATGAGCTCTTAATATTCAGCCCGTTTAAAATGGGAGGATTTCAAAATTTGCATTTTTGTTACTCATTCACTCACTCATCATCAAAATTATAAGACACTTCCCGTATAGGTAGAAATGTGAAATTTGGCACAAAGGTGGGTCTTATAGTGTAAATAAAGAAAAAAATCTGAAATATGCAATTTTCTCAAAATTAATGCGCTAGGTGGGGATTAATGATCTTCGCCGCGCTACAGCCAGTATACAGGGCGCTGTTGATGCCCACGTCAATAGTCAGCCATGATTTGGTCGTAGTTTGTGTCTTTGTTAATTCGTGTTCACATGCTAAACGTATAGGTTTCATTAATACGATTTTAATACTTAACTAGATTTATAGTGGCTACTTGTATAAATTCTAGCTTCACTACAATAAATTATATTTAATTCTATTAAATTTAATAAATTTAATTAATTTAATAATAATAATTATTATTTTCATAATATAAAGCTGTCCCGACCCGGCGTTGCCCGAGATTTAGTTTGCCTGGGTTAAGTAAAATAATTACAAATAAGTCAGTTCTCCAGGCTGTATATTGTAAAGATTTAGCATACCCCGTTTCGGCTTTTTTTTTTTGGATCTACATAATATGTACGTTACATTGTATTGATTATATCCCCTTTTTACTCAAGGGTCCCAGTCCCAGTCCCAGATCTAGTCCCAATTGTGAAAAGCGTCCCCAGAATCGTGGTACATAGAACTGTGGTTTCTGAAGCTCGTAATGCCCTTTTCTTCCTTGCTTGAGATGTAGATCGACTAATCGATTGACATTTGGGGGCATAACATAAAATTAATCATCATTCGCTCGAGATCCGTGGTTACCATAGTTACAAACCAAGTGTTTATTTTGGGTTAGGAACGAAAAAAATTTCGTATTTTAAGTACAAAATTCGTGTTTGAGGCCACCTTTAGGGGTGGAATTTTTGAAAAGTACTACGTCAGTTATCTTCGCGGCAGTGTACTCAACAACTTCCTAAAGTTTCATGGCGATCGGATGAATGGTGTATTAATGAATAAAGGACATACAAACAAACAGACATTCATTGTTATTATAATATATAATAATATTATTATATTATAAAAATAATAATTAATATTATTTTATTAATAATAAAAATTAACTTAAATTACTTTAATTAATTAAATTACACTATATTAATTATGACTAATTTAATAACTATTGTGGTTTATTAATAAAAAATAAATTATTAATCATTATGCATAGTAGCTACTTGTATAAATTCTAGCCTCACTATGAAGTGTAGTTTTATGTACATATATACATTATATATATATATATATATATACATAATGTAAATATCTACGTAGTTAATATAATAACACGTAAAAACAAGAGAAAATCTACGACGTACAATATCCATTCAATGCCTCGTAAAAAACCTCGCTCACGATACTGAAGCGCGCAAAAAGGAAATGATATTCCCAACAAAAACCTAACAGTGAAAAAAGGCTAAGTTCCAGACACCCCTTCCCAAAAATGTCAGCCTATCAAAGTAGTGATATCTACATTCTGACCAAGTCTGCTGTTTCTTTAGTTCATAACCACACTTCACTCCTACTTTCATGAGCAACACTGCTCTTTTATTTGTATTGCTTAACACTTGGCTAGTTTCTGAATTAATCATGAAACATCAAAATATAATTTATTATTTTTATTTTATTATTATAATATTAGTAATGTTCTATGTCTTTATAATTTTTGTTTTATAAAATCGCTATAGTACAAATAAAAAAATCCATGCACACCATCGCCAACAATTAATTTCTCGCCTGTACTTTTAAATACTAATAACTCAAGAAGTATTTATCCGAAACTCATTATCTACCTGCATAATATACATATTTAACTTTTAAAAGTTACCTGTGGTATCCGAGGTTAGGTTTCGCGTGCATAGTAAAGTATAAAAGAAATGTTCGTTGAACTGACTTAATGTACATGAAAAATCCTAAGAAGTTTTTATCTAAAACTGGTTATGGACCAGTCATTATTTTCGTTACACCATTATATTTTTCATAGATAAATATAATACCTACAAAGTTTGCTATTTGATTTTTAAAAATTACCCTAAAAAACCATCCTTTAAAAAAATATTTTTAAATTAAACATTATTAACTAGTTTTGTTTGTTTAATATAATAAACATTTGATTTTGAAAATGTTCAGCCGAAACAAATATTTCATCAAAATTATTACTTTACCATAATTATTCGCGAATGGCCCTGTATATATTTGTATTGTTACTTAGGTAGCAGGACAAAGCGTCGACACGTAGTATGCAGTATGCACTAGCATGAGACCACATTGTCTTTGTCTTAATAACGGCTATACCTATATAGGTATAATATACGTTATAATGTGTTGTATAATAACGTCTACCTAATTGTTATGATTAAGCTTATAATGTTATTATATGAGCAGCGAGGGAATTAAAAAATATTTCACCACCGTCTGCAAGCGTGCAGCCGGGCGGTTAGTTTAACAGAGCCTCTAGGTCGACCCAATGTACATACTATACAACGAGCAGTAAACTTTTACATACCATTTTGTATGTGTGTGTGTGTGTGTGTATATATTATAATCCACGACCGCCGCTTACCCTCACACGCATGATGATGATGACGATGATAATAATAATATAAAATAGCTCGAGTTTTCCTTTTGTGTGCGCATTCGCCGTTTATATTATACACTGCACCGTGAAATATGGCGGCAAAAAGCTGCGGTTGGGTGTTTGGCGGTAGTGATTTAATAATATAAACGACGGTATAATAATGGCGGCTGTAACGATATACCGCATATAGGGTGGAAGGGAAGGGGAGGGAGTAAAAAGGTTTTCCGGAGGGGGTAGTTTTCCGCCGCGGTCGTTTCATCCCTGCCAGGAACGCTCTCGGATATGTCTCGGCGTGTACGTATATAAACTCTATAATGATAATATATCTATACACATAACATAATAGGCGTGTATAGGTACATATTATTATTATTATTATTACTACAATATAAGCGTGTATTTAATATCGGAGAAAGAATGAAATAACATAAAAATATATATATTTTGTTGCCTGGCGAAGGGTAACAAAAAAAAAAAAAAATAATCATCTAACCCTCTTACCCCGTCACCGCGGTCGTCAGCCACTTAAAAGTCGCAAACGTCTTCTTTATGTTCCTACTCTTGTCATTTCCTCCACTCCTGTCTCCTCCAGTTCATTCCCTTACCTTGCTTCCCTTTTCTTCGCCAGCCCGGCCGATGATCGTTTGCGGGATATCATTCCCGTCATTCTCTCCATACCTGCGCCGCGCCTGTTATTCCTGTCCCGCCTTCCTTAGGTCTCCCCCGAAGCCATTCGGGACAATATGTACAAAGAACGTCGTCATCGTCAGCGTCTTGGTTGTGTTGGAAACTCGAAATTGACCTTTATTGCACTGCGTGATGGTTATGTGCACGGCAATTTACATTATACGCAATAATAATAATACAAAAGGTATACAAAGAAACGATTTTGTTAAGCGCAAGTATTATTATTACCGGGACGACAATCATTGGCGGAAAACAAATGATACGCCGTTTCATTAAGAGGTTTTTTCCCTTTGATCTTTTTATCTCTGCAGTCGGTACTGGCGAAAATGACGTCCGTATATTTATATTTAAAAATATACACAATATAGGTATATATTACCTTTGAATAAGGATGCTCGTTACGCGTTATTGTTCTATTTTTTTGTATGGGAACAAAAAAAATTACATAAGCATTACATATTTTAAGGTAGATTTGATATCGGCGACATTCAGTTTTAAATTATCAAAGACCCCGGAACAGGTTATGATGTATTGATAAAACTATAAATGATAAGAATGTAGGACGATATTATAACAATAGTAAGGGAAAGTAAAGCCTCAAAGAAAAGTCTTGAAATGAGTTTGGAGAGTTCGCTGACATTTTTTAACTTATATTATGCCTTAAGATGATAAATCAGGCTCTGGTTGTGATATAGGTATTCGACATTGGCAAAATGATTAAATATCACTAAACGAAATAGTCAAATCCGTTTGTATTTGATTAATGAAATAAATCATTATTTTGAGATAATATTATGCTCACTCTAATTTCCTCTTTTCCCCCTAGCTTCTTATTTCTTTTTACGTCCCCTCATCATGCACTATTACATCGTTTCTTATCAGCAAATGTTCTGTATTTCCCTTATTTATTCTCATCAATCATTATTTTTATCACTATTCGTGGAATTGGTGGATTAGAGCTATTTATCAGGTAATTTCCCCTAATTTGGTTACTATTTTTTGGAAGGCGATAAAGAATAAATATATTTTATGTAAAAAAAAGCATTGGTTCAGTTATTTTTACATAAGTTTAATGTTTCGTTGATATATTCGTATGTCGATTTATACCTAAAATTCTACAGTATGACTTCGTTTATGTCCATAACGTGTTTAATATATTTTATATGTCTAAAAGTAGGTATATGTCTGGTACCGTTGATCTTCATCCATAACTTTTTTAGTTACTTTTATTAAATTGGCTATTTTAACGTTAATAAGCCCTCTCAGGTTGGTGTGCATATTTTTAGCATTATAACCTATTTTACCAGTCGTTGTAATGAACTATCCTCAACATCCTGCTGTTCGTATCAGCCTAGTAACAAGTAGTAGATTAAAAATAAGGAATATTAGATCGAGAAGATAGAAATTGATAATATTAATTATTTTTATCACTGAAAAAAATAACTTTATAATATAATAGTATTTTTTATATACAACAAACATAAATATCAATAATGTTGATACCTTTTATATTATAATTTTTATATACTTTACTTAGACACATTAATATATTATAATACAATAGGTAAAATATACATAATATACATTATACATAATAAGAATACATTTTCGTATTTACATAATTAGGTCAACGTTGATAATAAATGGTAGGTTTCTAGAAAATAATAATAATAATATAATAGCTATAAATCATAATACACAGTATATATAATTTATTATATTTTATAATAGTAGTGATAGACAATTAAGTTTCTAAAACTCTTTTTTCCTAAAATAAACAGCCTCCAGCGAACCCGCGTATATTTCATGCGTTTTCCTGGTGGTTTCCACTTAAGTATATATAAAATAAATAAATAATATTATTGCATGATATCCTATTATGAATTATTAGCAATTATCATACCAGTTAGGTATTTCTACATAATATTGTGCGTTGGGTGTAGATTACATATTATCATAATCTCAAAAAGTATTATTGTAGTTTACTATTTACAAATTAGTGTTCACAACTATAAGATACAAAATGTAGTAGAAAAATGGGCTTCATCATTTTTTTTGGGGGGGAGTTAGAGATATATGCTGTTTGGGCATTTTATGTGTAAAAGGAACAGTTGTTTGTGTCCGTTTCGGAATCTTCGTCTTCTTCGCATTCCTGAACGTTATCCTGCGTTGTTCTCTGGTGTATGTTGGCCAGTCTCTGTTGTTGGATTTCCAAATGTTGTTTTCTCCATTTTATCCGGCGATTTTGAAACCATACTTTGACCTAAAGCACAAACAAATCGTTCGCTTAGTACGTTTTGAATAAAATAGTTGTAGAAAAATATACAGGTATGAACCCCTAGAAATTATTGTCAATCGTATAGAATTAGTATTTATGGTAAATTCATTTAAAAAAATGTTTTACGACCATAGTGAATATGTGAACAAGTGGAGAGACTAAGTTTGTTTGAGGGAATTGCACTAATCGCAACAAAAAACGAAAGATGAGAAAATGAACTATATAAGTATAAGGAATTGGAGAAGAATACCGACAATGTAGTTGTTAGATCTTTTAAATAAAGATATGAAGCCTGCCATCAATGAGGTATGTAGACAAAGAAATGTCAAAAGAAAAATAGTCCTATAGCATTGGGGGTATCCTTGTGATAATTCTATGAATGATTGACAAATTTCTCAAGAGTACCCTAAATAGGCCTGATCGTCGTAGTCCAGGATTCTATTATAGTATTTCCTTTATGCCGGTTGGGCTTTTCATTAGAAAATCTTATAGGACTTTACAAGCGAGGAAGAAGAAGAAGCCTATGCTGTTATAGTTTTGACACGAAGAGACACCACTTACCTGTGCTTCGGTGAGCTGTAGAGTGTGCGCTAAGTATAGCCTTTCGGGTCCCACCATGTACTGCTGCCGTTCGAATTCCATTTCAAGCCTTTCTAATTGTTCCGGGGTAAAAATGGTCCGCACTCTTTTCGACTTACCCGAACAACCGTGTTTCTTGAGAGATCCATCGATTTTGTCTGAAATATTAATTATTTGTCAAGTAAGTATGGTTTTATGTAACATTGAATGATCACCGATTGATGATCGCCGTAAATCAAATACAATACATATTATAACGAACAACGGTATACTCCACCCCCTATGTGTGACATGTACACAACTGTATCACGGTGTAATATAGAATACACAGACAATCGAATTAGCATGCGAGAACCGACCATTAATAAATCCGCCGGTCTTCAATAATCGCAGGCCATTGGAGTATTAATAATTTGATACACATTTATTATTACTATACGAATGACGCGTGTGATTGTAATATGTAATAATTAGAACAATAATTTGTCCTGCCAAAACCGCACGCCGAACCCGGTCGCCACTTGTACATATTATTATTCACTCCTGGTGAATGCAAAAATTAGAATTAAAAAAAAAAATAACCGCAACAATCCGCCAACACCGCACGTTATAGTAATAACACTAATAATAATATATTATGTTATAATAACCGGTCCTCCGGTGATTTATGGCGATAATATGTATATAATATAGGGAACGTATTAACAAATGAAAAATAAAAAAAAACTTGCGCACTCAACCCTTTTGGCAGCGCGATGGGGTGAATCGTATGCGAATACTGTAATAATAATTATTGTTACACATGTTGTGGTGTTAGGGCGTCGCCGGACCGAATGCGCACTATTTGTCTAAAAAAAAAAAAAAAAACAACCGACTCACCCCTTGTGCCGAAGAAAACTATTACAAACTCGACGACCTCCGGGCAATTAATAATTTTGGCTTTACGATTTATGTATATTTTTTCATTATTTTTGTTACGGTCGACTACTCGAAGCGCATCGATCCTTGTTCGTTGGACCGGAAATTATATTATTACTATCATTCAATATTTGAACAACGGTGCCCGCCATCGCCCGCACTCGCACCATCCGTCTGTATATACACCGCCAAGTTCACCACGGATTAATTAACGGGATTTTTCGACACTCCCTCTCCCTATTCTCCCCTGTCGCTCTTATTTTAGCAGCGTCAACCCGCAAAAACTGCCGACTATATGCGGTCGGAAATTGATGACAGCCGTTTTGTTGAGCGCAACACTTAACTTTGGCCGACGGGTTATTACCAGGATACACTGGGGATACGGCGAGGAACGCGGCGGAATTTATATTATGAAATTATTATGACATCATTACCCCGCGACCGGGACCAGAGAACGGCTCTATTATTGTTGTAACATGCGGTCTACACTGCGATTATACATGTATATATAAGTAATATACGACGTCAAGAGTAATTAACAACTTTGTTCCAACGTGTATATATATATATATATATATATATATATATATATATATATATATACATCCTATATATTCTTCTCCTCTTCTCGTCTCCCTTTCATCCCATCTCCCTCGTCTACTCGCTGCCGACGTTTAACTTTGTCCTTTAAGTTTACGACCGCGCTATGACTCGCACAATGGACCGCGGAAATGGCGGTGGCGGGGATAAAAAGCTGTGCGAGACCTATGCACAGTGCGGAGACAGGACCTTGTGGCAGGAGGGACACCGGAAATAGGCGGTCTTGGATTCCTATGCCCGTGGGCGGCGTATAAAAGTTGTTTACCGCGCGTTCCGACAGCAATTTATATAGGTAACAATGTATAATAATACCACCGTTATTATTATTATTATCATGGTAATAACCTGAGAAACTTTCGAACCGGATAAAAAAACAACCCTTGTTCAAACGCTATTGGCATGCGATATACGCGGTTCGGAAAATATCGAAATAGTTTCTTTATTGAAAAAAAAAACTCTTGTACGAGCGCGCCTTTCCGAGTACACAATACTGAAAACTAATTAAAACCGCTATTATCTACTATAATAAAAAAAACTAGTAGGAATCCGATCAACGCCGACTAAATTGGCAATAAAGCCTATCATAATACAGGATTTTCTTTAGAGCAAAGGCCAAAACATTCGATTAATGAAAGTCATAACACCTTCTTACAAAGGCACTCGTGGAAATTCAGAACGTATAGAACATACGAATCTATGACAAACAGAATAAAAAAATAAACCAGCAATTCTTAAAACGAACTCAAACCGCAGTGGTTAAATAGTTCTTACATTGGGAACATGCACACCATACTTAATGGTAGGCCAAAAGAATTTTATAAATTTATGTAAACCAAATGTGAATCCATAAAATCTACAGTTAACGGTCAAACACATTTTGTAATGTCCAAAATTCCAATTAGCCCACCAAATGTTCGGAGCCCTGGAATCATTACAAAATATGTTAATTTTTAAACAGGATAAATGTATATATTATCACACTTATGTCTTCGAGATAGGCTCAGAAAAAGGTGGATCGACGAAATTGAAGAAAATTCGAGTATGTTTGAAATGTATTGCTGGAGAGAAAAAGTTCAAGACAGAAATAGGTGGCAAGGTGTCGTGTTGATAAAATTGTTTGAAAACTTGAGTTTCCAAGTAAATAAGAATAAGATAGAATATTGTAACATAGCAAGTAGTTTATCGAATTGTTCTTAATGAATTTCTTCAGTGGAAAATAAAGAAGAATATAATATTAAGAATCACGTATTATGATAAAATCCTAAGATAATTGAAAAAAAATAATTTGTTGTATAAACTAATTCAAGTGCTTAGTTGAAATCCAGCTAGAAAAACACACACACAACAGTTTAGGGTAGATTTTACCATAAAAAACTAACACCCTCGAATGAACAGGTGTGCTTTTGCCGGTCACCAGCACAACATGAAGGGAATTCATAAAATGTATTGCTATAAGTGTGTAATTTATATTGCTTTCCCTCGTTGCCGGCTATACCGCCCTTTAATGCGATTCGACATGCACTGTGTGTATGCTCTTTTATTGTGTACACTTTTCAATATATAAGTACGCCTACCTCGTAAAGTATAATAATCGATGATATTTTGTCAAATCTCGAAAGCCACACTATTTGTGTTTTCCTAATATTTAACACACCACTATAATCGGCCGTGAGTTACTCTGTTCATATAATATTACACCACGTCATGGTCACATTTCACGAATTGTTATTAATTGGCTCTCTTTGCGTACAAAATTATGAAAATAATATCGGCTGACAGTTGTGTAGTATAAAATTAAAATCACTGAATTTATAATTGTACTCTGCTCGATATTTACTCGGAGTGCTCTTAATGATAGTATTTCCGGGTAGTAATAATGTGAAGCCAATTAAGACAATTGAGAGGGTAGGTTGAGTTGTTCGTACCGACTGATTGTTATTATTAGTAATCGGCATTCGACGACATTTTGCGGTTTCCTTTGGAATGAAGACGTGACGGTATTTCGATTCGTAACCATCGATTTTCCCCATTCGACAAGAAACTTAAACGAATAATGTCGGATTAAGTACACGTATTTTGTTCTACGAACCTTTTCTTTATTCGCTTTTAGGCGGAATACCATAGTAAATAAATTGTTTAATATTTGTCATATGTATTGCACTGGAAACCGATGTAGCACAATAACAATAGCTGTTTTTTAATTCAACATAAATAGAAGACTATTGTATTTTATTGATAGATTTTCACCGAAGTTCGGACTAGAGGTAACTTAAATAACTCAGACATGGCGAAGAGAGTGCCAAAGATCAAAGTTGGCAAGCCGGATATAAAATACGGATGGTAATATTACATATATATTATATTTATAATTAACAGCGATGGTTGGTTTATTTGTAAAGTACATAAACGATTTTTCGACCCATCAGGCTAGACCCGGAAGTGAATTTAACTAATAAAATCGGCGATAGCGTAGTCAGAATCAAAGGCCGTATGCAAATGGAGAAGATCATGAAGAACATGGACTCAAAAGACAGGCGAGAGATATTGAACGTCATCGACCAACGAATGGTTGGTTAAAACAGTTCATTGACAACTTTTAAGAATAAAAAACACCTAGATCTTACATTAGTTTACAGTCCTGCGGGTAGTATTCCAATTACTATACTTAAGTAGTTTGTAATTGATAATTTAATATATTATTTTAAATCTTGGAATAAAAACCAAAGTATATGGATTTTTTTCGATAAACCCGAATTTCGTCACAAAAAAGTTGTAAAAGAATATTATGAGTTTTTAAACTTATGTTATCCAATCACGTTACTCCAATAACGACTTAGGAATCAATCAATGTTGGGCAACCCAACATAAGTGTTTTCAATCAAGTACTAAAATTGTGAACTAATTTTCTGAAATTATCTTAAAAAATTCCATACCTGTTTTACTTTCCACTGAAACTGTCTTGTTCGGTCTAGCTACATTTATATAATAATTTAACGGCGTTAAACAGTGCAGAGTGGCGAAAAACCGCAATGTAATATTAAGTACTATAATAATAATTAACACCATTAACGTGATCTCGCAGAAAGATCAGATCAAATGGGAAACGCAAATGGTTTTACAGCATAAATTAAACCCGGACATGGCTCACAAACTCATTTACGAACATCCGGTAATCGTGCAAAGAGTAGCATTGGCTGAAGAAACAAAAAAAGAAAAGGAAAAAGTAAATTTTATTGGCTATGGGCAAAGACCAGCTGATATTTTGTATTATACATCACTGGTCAAATTGTCAAATTTCTTTCTCAGAGGAAAATTCCTAAACGCAAAAAACCTGCTGTGATGAAGAAGATCGAGAACATTTATTACCAGGAAACGAACTCTCATCTGAAAAAACTGGGCATAGAGTTCACACCCCACCAGTTGGGTGACAGTCATGCTGTGGACTACGCCAATCACGGCAAACAACTCAAGAAAGTTTTGTACAAATTCGACAAAGAAATCGGAATAAAACCCGTCCGTGAACACGAGAAGGGCAAACTTGCCGAATTAAAAAAGATGACAGTTACCAAAGACGTAAGTTCAAACTTTAAAATAACATCATTAGGGCTAAACGGCAATGTTGTCACAAAATTGTTTACACTTTTAGAACTTGAATCAATATTTTGCTCTAGCCGACGAAATCATGAATCCAATTCTGGCTCAACATAAAGTGCAGGTCGCTTTGTAAGATCAATCGATTACGCTTGCACGTTAGACACGGTGTATTATGTTTTTACTTTGAAAATACTTACAATAACCATTTATAACGTTTTATATTTATTTGTAGTTTTAAAAATTCAATTCGAAGTGATCTCTGTATTCAGTATTTCTTAGTCTTTACAGCTGAATAAGTTGAACCCATCTTAATTTTTTTTTCGATTGTTGACAAGAATTAAACGAATGAGTTGTCAAATGAGAGAGTAAAACTCAAACACTAATTTGATTGTAGGGAAAAGAATTTCTTTTATTACGACTGTTCGTCTTTTATTAAAGAACATATAATATACATTTCCTAAAAAGTAACATTTCTAAATTTTATTGTAATATAAAGTACGAGATGTTATTATTACACATTTAAAACACTCTTGAACAAATTGGAAACGTTGACAATTAAGAAAAACATTAACTACTGTACATAAAAGGGTAACTGGTAAGTAACACATATAACTTATTCACACCACCCTACTTTGAAAAATGTAACGATTTATGGCTTGCGCTAACCCTTGTTGTTGTTGGTGTGAGGCGTTCTTTGAGGAAAAATAAATTAATGCCATATACAACAGTTATAGCGTGGTTTAAATTAAATGTTTAATAGCAAATTAATTTAGTTTAAGTAGTTTTTTTTATATAAAACTAAACTAAACTTTATTTAACACAATATTGTAGTTAAAACAGTTAGGATAGTTAGATAGTTTTACAATACTGTTTAAGTGGCATTCATGTATTCTTACAGGAAAGCAAAATAAAAATTATTTGTTTCTATGTGTTCTCATGAAGGTGATTTTAGTGTTCTTCAATATTTCTCAAATATTGATCAAAAATTGTTTTTGAAAAAAATTACATTTGTACCTTTTTGGTTTCCATCACTTCAATTCAATTCATTGGTGCACGGAAAAAAAGGTTAGTTCATTAAAACCCATTTTTTTATTACAACAAATACAAATTTTGTATTCATTTTTAAGATTTGAGATAGGATGTTTAATTTGTTTGTGAATTTAAGTAAGTCACACAGAACTATTTTTGATAGGTATTTAAACATTTTTTTAGCTGAAAGATTAGATATCTGCTTGTGACATCTCTAATTACATAAAAAAAACAATATTTTAACGTAAAACGTACATTAAAATTATGCTTTCTTAAATGAAGTGAGACTTAAATCTCATAACACAATCTATAGAAGTTTTTTTTTTGTATCGTAGTTCATCGCATAACAGTGACTTAGCCCTTTTTTCAAATCTCATCCCCGAACCTAGATGATCCTTTGCAAATATTTCTAATACAAAATGTTTTAGGCCACCTGGCCATATAATATAATAATATAATTTATGTATTTCAGGCCATCGGGAAAATCCAGATATCTAGCTGCGACTTCTAGGATCCAGCGGCCTCATTTGCGTGATTTATAATTTAGTGTTACACTCACCTTCTTTGGACTTTTTGGTATGTGCGATAGCCGAGGCCGCTCCGCCGGTGGAGAAGTCCAGCGCGGTGGCCGCTGTGATCCCCACAGGGGGGCAGGATTGATCGGGGGCACCTTGCAGCCCCAGTATGGCATCGATGGTGAACGGCTTGCAAGGCCTCGGCGACGAAGAGCTCAAGCCACCGTCGGACTCTGCGCTACCGTGACTGGCGCTCCTCGTTCCTTCTACACAACCATAAGCCTGGAAGGCGCCGCGCTGCTGCTGTTGCAGTACGTGCTGTTGTCGCTGCTGGAACCGGTGTCTTTGCTGTTGATGCAGTTCTATCAGCTGCGACAGGGCCGTGTTGTACTCCTGGAACAGAGGGTTCTGCAGCATCATCATTTCGGTTGTGGCGGTCGACTCTTTTTTTGCTTCCTAACGTCTTTTTTTTTTTAAACTTTCTTATACAACGGCGACAGCTTTGTAAAATAACTAAATGTTGGCAATAATAAAATATAACTGATGTTATGAGCTAATGACGTGTGCACCGACGTGACGACCGAACATGTTGCGCGCGCGAACATCTACTGCACTGAATGAAGGCGAACGTGTCTACCGCCCAACGGCGACGGGCGTGCACGCGCACTGCCCGACGGTCACGCCCCCGGCCCCATCGGACGGGCCTGCGCCATTGGGCACGGGGGTCCCTCTAGCGGTTCGAGCACTTCCAAACGGCCCACCTCTCCGTCCGCCCCTCGCCCTCCGTCCTCCCGCCGAGCACTCTGTCGTCGTTAATGCTCCGCGACCGTGTACCTATCTTCACCCTCATACTCCAACCCGTGTATATTAACTATGTAGTTTAATAACTTTTGCCTCGACTGAGTACTCCTCGTTTGCCACCCCCTCCCTTCTGCCCAGCTGACCACTGTGCATATCATTATATACACTGTCAAAAAGCTACCATTTTGGGTTCCGAATACATACTACTATTGTGTGCACAATAAGTCCAACTCGCGAGTATGTACCATACATGCACACACTGTAATACCTATAGGTACATGTAGTTACCACAGCATTACTTTGTCCAGAACGGTTAAAAAAGTTGTTTGTTATTAGCAAAATAAGATTTTAAAAAATGATACAATCTAAATTACCTAAAACTCGACATGGAACTGGAAATGAAAAGGTTATAGTTTTAAAAATGTTCAGGATACGCTTTTTAGTTAAAAAAGTTAAATTTTATGCTCTAGTTTTTTAATTGGCTCATAATCAATTAATGTATAAATAAACGATGATGTCTATGACTTTCATTGGGTTCTCTAATGACTTTTTATCAACATAATAATACTATTTGAAAGCAAATAACCCAAAATAGTAAAAAAAATATTGTTTTTATACTTTTCAAAGCGAATCCTTCCAGTAGACATTTTTCAACGTAAAGGTTCGAAGTTGAACCTTTAGGCATCGACAGTATTCAGTAACCACTATAAAGTACATTGATTCTGTGATTCCGTGGTAGAAATGAGTGAGATTCCATATAAACACAAATTAATATGGTACTACATTTGTATTATACAAGTATACGTACTCTAATACATATTACGTTCTATTTAAGTTATCGTCAATAACATGTTCACTTCTAAAAAGTTCTACTTAATAAGCAGTAAAGTAAAATACTATTTGGTTCAATAACCAATTCATCCTGGAAATCTCAAAGTTTAATATAGCTAAAAATTTCATAAACTCACAATGTTCACAATTTAGTTTAGCAGCAATTATTTAAAAAGTGACTTTTCGAAAAATCACCATTTAGAATATTTTTATTTTTGAGTAGCGTGGTACGTTTTTGAGAGAGAGAGAGAGAAAGAACTCTTTAAACTCTGTAGTCGCTTATTTTTTATGACATATGACCGCCGTATGATAGTTTCTTATAAAAAGTAAAAAAATCAGCAAAGCAATTAATTAAATTTACTAGTGTGACCTTGACACTTGGTCAACCCTAAGTAACTGTAAAAAATAACGCAAAATCAATTTCGGCTAGAAAATTTCCTAGTAGGTACAGTTCGACCATGGCAACGAGATTCTATGGTGATGGTCACGTTTAACCGCAGTTTTATGTTTATGATAACAACTCTATTATAATAATTCAGTAGCGGTGAAATATATTATACCGAATTCGATAACATGACGTTCCAGATCGGTTTGATTTTGCTTGTGGCAATTGAATTGACCGCGTGTCCGGTCGCCGACCGTCTTACGTGCAAAGATAAACTAATTCACTTAACACCCAAGAACTACTTACGAAGCTTGCAATTTTTCAAGGACTGCATCGACCTGGGTTTAAGTGAACCGTTCGAGTACGAATATTTCGACAATCTGCGACAGAACATTATTAAGGCGTCGGCGGAATTCTACTGGCAAGACCAAGTGGTCACAAACGTGCCCAGAACAGTGTATGATACCACCAATTTGCTATTACAGCTCATCGGTTCGATAGTTTTTCAAAATTATTACTTGCAATTGCGGAAAAACGAAAACCATGACCATTTTGAGAAATCGGTCACCTGAAAAAATAATGTGTAATTTGAATAAAAGAAGCTACAATCTCTAAAGTAAGTAATATTAAAATTAAAAAATAAACCTTTTGCGCTTTCTAATGTTGTATTTGTTTGATTTAGAATAGGCTAAATGGTTTGACAATGCGCTAAGCGTCCATCGCAATATTCGTGTAGATGTAGAAGAAGTGTTTTGGAGGAAATAGCTCGAAAACCCCGAAGAATGTACGGATGTACCTATATTGTTTTGTAATATAATAGCAGTCTCCCAGCAGGCTTATGTCATGTGTACAAGAATTCTTCGAAGTAAAGGGGTTGGCGATGTTTTTAGAAAACGACCAGACGACAACAACCAAAAAATAACATGACATTTTTATTTCGGTGTTTAAAATTACATTATTCCAATAATTAGTCTATATTTTTTGTCTATGCATTTTATGTATACAAAATAAAAATATATTCTTGGTTATACGCTTTGTACTCGTGTGGCTTATAGATGCATAAAATAAAAATTTGGGGGTAGGTTTGAACACGGGCCGGGTGTAGTGGAAATCCTCTCACAAGTCTACATGTTCACAATTTGTGTAAGGGTTATAGTTCGCCTATGAACATAATCTATGCCATAGTATCATTTTATTCACTATTGACCTGGGTCCTGGCGTTAGCGACTCAAGAGCACGGGACGCATGCATTAGAACAAAGATATGTATTTAAGGTAAGATGGCGCTCCGTGAGTGGTGAAATTCAACTAAATGGACATGGCGTAAAGTGCATTGTCCTGTGTATGCATCCGCTGTTCGTATCTATCGTTTAGCATAATACTTTAACTGATGTGCAGTTTGAAGGCGAGGAGTAACGGTCAGGCAAAATATGATCGTTACAGTAGGTACCTAATATATAGAACAATGAATTTGGAAAAAGTATTTGTAATATTGTCCAAAATGTTATAAGAACGGTAAAAAAAGTATCTGGGTAAAATTGCAGCTGTGACAAAACAGGCAAATATTATTAAATACCAATATTTTCGAAGTAAATACCTAATAAAAAAACTGTTAAGGCTAAAAAAACGCAATATTTTTTTTGCAACAATTTCAGGAATTTTTATTTTTATGTTTATTTTATAAAACGAGGACAATATAAAATAAAAATTTTGGAAACATTTTATGGTTAGTGTAACAGTGTAATATAGACAAAAATATTACTTTGTACTCTACTACTGTGGTTAATGCTTTACTTGGAAGGACCCTTTGACTGTTGTGTACATCTACTTGGTGTTGTGTATTTATAATCGAAAATTCGAGAGGGTATACATAATATTTTGGTTACATAATTCAATAGGAGATTATATATTAGGTATCTCAGGACAGAACGCCAAAAACCGGTGGCCCGGTAAAATGTAACGCGTTTGGATAATCAACTGCTGTCATCATTTTGTCTCCTTGCACTGGTGGACTAGAATATTATTATTATTATTACTATATGACTATTATCGTCCCTCGGGAATTCGGTCGATTGCACACGATCAAAAGTGACCCACTCGACGTGGCTGTGTTTGCTCATATTATTATTATTATATAGTCACAAAGACAGGATTATACGCGTGCGGGGAACCGGTGTGCATGTGTGTGAACGACCGTATATATAGGGTGGTGTTCGGTTACTCATTTATTCCATATAGGTATTATAATTTTTTTTTTTCAGTACCAAAATTGACTTTCAATTTAAACTATTCGATGCGTGAGGGCTTATATTATTACTAGGTATGCGATGGTGGTCGTATGTGGGAGCTGATCCGCGTACACCAGACCAGACTTCTCGACACCGCGATATTTATTATATTATATTATTTGTGTGTGTGTGTGTGTGTGTTCGAACCGTTTAAAGGGAGACAATAGTCGTTTTTATTATTTTTATTTATTGTGTCACTCGAGGTACGTCGCCCGCGAGAAATGTGGAATTTAAATGATAATTTTCCGGTGAAAGCGCACCGTCAATGCGCGTTGCGGTGTAGGTAACGCGATGAAAATCCTGTAAATAAAAGCCTAAACGAGATTATATGGTTTTGATCTTGTTTATACGCCATGCGTAAGTACTAAGTGTTCGAAAATGCTAACCGTTATAATGCCAAAAAAAAAAACACCGAGGGTGGTATAAGACAGCAACGGTGGACTGAGACACCTTTTCTCTCTTTTTTTTTTATTTTGACAAAATAAGTGCTGTAATAATTTTAAATTCGGCGCAAAGCTACTAAATGGTAATATTGATTTTAAAATTAAATGTTTTTCTTTTGTTTTTAGACCAACCATAATATTTTAGCAACCAGCATCGGGATTTTGTGTACATACTGCTTTAAATGAAAAATCGTTCACCGAAAGTACTTATAAAAGGCGAAATTCAAAATTGTTAACCTAAAAACACACTCAACAAATCTTTCATTCTCAACAATCAGCATTCAGCAATGTATTGCTGTCCGAATAACATACAACATATACATCAATATATTACACTCAACGGGCTTCGTTATTTTGCAAATCTGACATTATTTTCAAAATAAATAATCAATAATTCTTTTCGTTTTTTATAGCACTTACAAAAAAAGCGGACTGGTTAAGAAAGGTCTGTCCTTAGGAAATTTATTATTATATAAGGTGATTAATTTAACGTAAGTCACTGATTTTCTGTGAAAACATTTTCAATTTTATAGTTTTTCTTTTTGAATAGGACACTATTATGTTATTGTACAATGTTATAAAAATACAAGTTACTTACCTTTTTTATTATTTTACTGAGTACCATCAATTTTGGAACTTAAATGGTAACGTAATTATTTTCTCAGAAAATTAGTGACTTATAAATCGACCATTCTATATAATATGTACAACAGGGTGTTCGTTATTTTTAATTCATGCGGGATACCTGTAAATATGTTTCAAATAATGTTATTTATAAGCACTATCATTTTTTGAGATTTTGTAGGTGAATCTCTCCGTTTCTCTAATTGGGGATAAAATAT